ACACACCCAAAATCAACCTCAAAGTCAACTTTTTGGGTGTGTTTATAAATGAGTTTTGAGTGTGTGTAATGATGGGTTTTGGGTGTGTTTATATGTTTAAATAGTACTTGGATTTTTTTATAATTTCAACTCCCATTTTGGGTGTTTTAGTGAAACTCCCATTAAAATTTTGTCTGCTACAGTTGTGCTCCTTGATGACTCTGGTTAAATGCAGTTTCTATTTTATTTTTGGTAGATTACATCATTATCAAATTGGGTCTGGAAAAAAAAAACGAAGAAGAAGAAAGAAACAAATAATTTGAAGTTGTAACAGGGAAGCCTGGGCAATTGTCGTGGCTAGGATTATAAAAAATTTAGGACATGTTTACTGTCGTGGCTAGGATTATAAAAAATTTAGGACATGTTTACGTATCAGTAATAGAGAAATTAAGGAATCAAAGAATTTAGGAATTGGAGAACTGTATGGGAAGAATCATTCCCATTAAGCTGTTTACTAAACATATGGAATTAGTAATGGAATAGGATTGATTCTCATTGTTATTGTTTACTAATTTGCATGAATCAGAATCCAAATTAATTTTAGAATTATGGTAAAGTGATAAGGGTATTTTTGGAAGTTATTAAGAGAAAACATGAATGGGAATCGTATCGATTACTCCCTCCTAGTTAATCTGATTCCTAGTTTTGAGGGAATGTGATTACGGATTTTGAGGTGGGATTCACTTATTTTTTCATTCATGATTGCAAATAAACGCATGAGAAGACAGGAATGGAAATCATTCCCTTTCCTTCCATACCCATTACTGATACGTAAACATGCCCTTATAGTAATCGCACACCCTGGGATTCGAATCAACGGCAACAAAGTTTTAAGGGCATCGAGCGCTACCAAGTGAGCTAGACTGGCTGCTGTTGATTAAGTACCGGATTATTATTTTTTATAGAGTCCTACATCGGGAAAGTATAATAGTAATTTACACTTTAAATATAAGGGTTTCATTGATAATAGCACCAAGGCCTTTAGGATAAAACCCCACACCTATAATAACCAAAAAGAAATATATTGGATTTAGGTTGTTAAGTTGGGGACTATATCGGTGCTAGTGGGTGAACCTATGTGGGATTTGGTACTAGCATTGCATAGTGCCGGTAGGGTAATCCTACGATGGTTCGGTACCAACACGCATTAGTGTGAATGGTGGTCCTATGCATTGGTTCAGTGTACCAATACGCATAAAATGGAGGCCCACTGCTAATAGCACCGAGGCCTTTTGTAAATTTTTTATTCGTCCGCATCTTTTCGTATTAAATTACATGTTTAATTTCTTTTTCAAATCTGGCCAAACAAAATGGAATTTTTAGTACACTGTTGAATTTAATCAAGAGACCCCAAAGACAAAAGGCAACAGTTGTGATTGCTTATGTACTCCTTCAAAGCCCAGCATCTCCCACAATTTATGTTTATTCAAGCCACTGAAAGCAATTGGATCACATAACTACGATTTTTTATCCAAGCTTCACTAATATACCCAAAATAGGGGCTGAAATTATAAAAAAAACCCCACATGGAATGCACTTTAGAAACACACCCAAAATTCATTTACTACATAAGAAATTAGTGTTGAAGTTCCTATAAATTACATGACTGCCATTGATCAACTTAAAAGAAGCCCAACAAAAAAAACTTAAATAGCACCCAAAACAAGCCCAGCCCAATTTTATAAAAAAACCCAAACAATTCATTACAAAAAGATGTCTTGAAAACTGTAGCTTTATTAACGTGTCATATTGATTAATGATTGTAATGTTCCACACTTTTATTGTCATGTTGATTAATGGCTGTAATGTTTCAGTCTATGGTAATAACACTGTTATTTTACTCTCATGTTGATTAATGGCTGTAATGTTCCAGTCTAGGGTAATAACACTGCTAGTTTCCAATGACATCTTATTTTTAATGCATGTCTACCCATGTAATGTTCCAGTCTAGGATAATAACACTATTAGTTTCCTATGATATCCTATTTCTAATTCATATTTACCCCTATAATGTTCCAGTTTAAGGTAATAACATTGCTAGTTTTCTATGACATCTTATTTCTAATGCATGTCTACCCATGTAATGTTCTAGTATAGAGTAATGACACTGCTATTTTGTGATGTTCTAGTCCAGGGTAATAACATTGCTCGTTTACTGTCATGTTGATTAATGGCTATAATGTTCTAATATAGGATAATAACATTGCTAGTTTACTGTCATGTTGATTAATGGCTGTAATGTTCTAGTCTAGGGTAATAACACTATTAGTTTCATATGACATCCTATTTATAATGCATGTCTACCCCTTGTAATGTTCCAGTCTAAGGTAATAACACTATTAGTTTCCTATGACATCCTATTTCTAAGGTAATAACACTACTAGTTTCCTGTGACATCCTATTTATAATGCATGTCTACCCATGTAATGTTTCAGTTTATGATAATAACACTGCTAAGTTCCGATGATATCCTATTACTAATGCATATCTACCCCTGTAATGTTCCAGTCTAAGGTAATAACACTGCTAGTTTACTGTCATATTGATTAATGTTTGTCTTGTTACTATTTCTAATACATGTCCACCAAAGAAAAGAAGAAAGAACAAACTAGACCAACTCAAAACAAACCGAGCCCATATTGTTAATACTATTATGTTAAAAAAGGACATTGTTAATACTCTGTCATAGAAGTACATTGTTAAACAAAAATGAGATCCATAACTGAAATAGTAACAATGGATAAATCAATCATCAAAGCTTAAAGTACATTTCGAAAATCAACTAAAATATGAAGAGAAACACATAATTGAAGCAAAAGATCAAAAATCTCAAGTCTCCAAACCAAACGATGACGACGACAATAAAGATGATGATGACGACGACGACAATGACATGGTGAAAGAGGAGTAGAGCTTGAAGATGATGAGTAGAGCTAAGAGCATCTGATTGAGGTTCGTTCAAGGTTCCAAACAATCCGAAAAAAAAAAAATCAATATAAGCATGATTTTAGAACAAGAAATCGAAGATGAAATATTGAAAATTGTAGAAGATAGATGAAGAATATAGCTGGACCTGAGATTGAGCTTCAATGGAAGCTCCTCTTGCTCCAACATCGATAAAACACCAGCAAGAAAGGAGAAAATAAAATCTGATTTGGTTTTTTGGCAGATTTGATTTTTTTTGGCAGATTTGGTTTTTGGCAGATCTGGACAGATCTTGGCAGATTTGCTTTTTCTCTCTCAAATCCATAGTACAAAGGCAATATAGGTATTTTACACACACAAATAAACAAAAAAATATCTATTTAATTTTAAAAAAATTGACAGCTGCGATTTTTGGGTTTTTTTTGGGTGTGTTTATAGTTTTTAAATGGTATAGGGTTTCTTTATAAGACTATGTCTAAGATTGGGTATATAACTAAATTTGTAAAAAAAAAAAAACCACAGTTTAACTAAATTAAAGCAAAGCAAGAAAAACCTAGGTTTCTATCACCTAGTTGACGAAACCCCGATAGACAATTTACATAAAATAAGTCTTAATTATGTACATGCCTCCTGTGCTTTCCAACTTATCTCAGATTACCACTTGTGTTTGCAAACGGCTCAAAGTACCCCTCAACGTTTAAAAAACCGTCTCACATTACCTTTTCCGTCAGTTTTTTTGAAGTTCTGTTACGAACGTTATTGTTCATCCCCCCCAAAATTCCAGAACAGCAACCCATCCCCTTTGTTACTGTTCATCCGACCAATTTTTAGGCTGTCATCTCCTCCTTCGGCCACCCCAAGCGACGACATGGGTATCAAAAGAACCAGCACGTTATCCTCTACCATCCTCACACCTCATCCGCTACCAACCGCCGTCTGGATCGCCGAAAAAACCAATAAATTGGCCGATTTTTACCCAAAATCTCCATCGCTCGTTCGGGCGATTCCGAGCACCATTTGCTTCGATTTAGGTATGGTTTTTCAACCTCTCGAGCTGTTCTTGCTGCTAGTTGTGTTGGTTATGAGAAATTTCTGAGTTTTGGAGGGTAAATAAGCGATGAATAGTAACAAAGGGGATGAGTTGCTATTCTGGAATTTTGGGGGGGATGAACAGTAACGTTCGTAACGAAACTTCAAAAAAACTGACGGAAAAAGTAACGTGAGACGGTTTTTTAAACGTTGGGGGGTACTTTGAGTCGTTTGCAAACACAAGTAGTAATATGAGATAAGTTGGAAAGCACATGAGGCATGTACATAATTAAGCCTAAAAATAAAAACCCGTAATTAAGATTTAAATTCAGTAATGAAGGCTTAGCTGCAATCCTTTGGAGTGGTGATTGCTACTTTTATATTGTTTCATTTCTCATATTAATTGTTATACTTTTGTTCAGTGGATGTGTTTGATGGTCTGGAAGTAGATATGGGTTTTTTTTTAAAAAAAATTTAATTTAATTTTAAAAAAAGTTTAGGTGGAGATTGGCTACTCCCATCACTAGCGCCAAAACAGACCCACAATCTCGAATCGGAAGGACTTACGCATGGACTAATTTATCAGTTGGGTTTTCAACTCTTAATTTTATTTTTCTTAGTTTTTTGTGTCAATTTTTTGCTTAATTATATATGTAATTCGTAACAGTTTGACAATGTTATATTTATTCTAATGGTCAACAGTAGATGTATGAATGCAAATAAAATTATCTGGAATAAAAAAAAGGGAGTTTCACTAAAACACCCAAAATGGAGGTTGAAATTATAAAAAAACCCAACACCCAAAACACTTTATAAACACACCCAAAAAGTTGACTTTGGGGTTGATTTTGGGTGTGTTTCTATGTTTAAATAGTGCTTGGGTTTTTTTATAAATACATGTCTAGGATTGGGTTTATTTATAAATTTGTATAAAAAAAAACTCTTTTAAAAAGAAATAAAATAAATTATTTATTAATAAACAAAAGAAATTAAATAAAATAGAAGAGAGACTGCGCTAAATACACTTTGAGAGGGTGACCACAACCGAAACCCCGATAGACAGATAAAAGCTCCACCGACCTCTGCATCAGAGGTATGTATGCAAATGTTAACATCTTCAAGTTCAAAATTCGATCTTGTTCGTTGCTTCTCCATGGTTTGCCTTTTGATTCTACCATCTATTTGGGCAATTTAAATATTTTTATTTAACTTTTTTGCTTCTTTTGGGACTTCTGGGTTCGCAGAAAGAGCTTGGAATCGTTGTTTTTCTGGGCGTGTAATTGTGTTTGTTCCTTATACTGAACGGGTTAATGGGTTTGAGCTAATTTGGGTTTATTTTGTTTCATATGCTGTTCATAACAATTTTTTGTGTTTTCGCCATAATCTCTATGATATTATATTTGCGTAAAAGAATTAGTTTAGGCACTGAATCCATCAAACACTGACTAAATATGTATAGGGTTTAACAGAGACTGCTATGTCATGTAATGGAACTATTTTCATTGCTTTGATTAATTCTTTCTTGTGACGCTTAGGACTAGAATTTATACCATTAAGCTTTGGCTTAAGCATATCGTCTCTCTCTTCCTTTGTATGCTAAGGCTTAGGATCATTATAATCGAAGTATCTTGGTCTCATCTCTTGGTTTTTGTTGCTTTTGTTGCAGTTCAGAATTTTTGAGGGTTTTGATACGAGATGGTGAACGCCACTAAAGGATTGTTCGTCTCTTGGTAAGATAATTGTGTGAACTTTCTGTTGTGCATTTCTTAATTTTATCAAAACAAGCATGGGTTTCGAGGATATTTGGTTGCGGTTCCTCCTCTCCTTCACATATTATAAAACTTTGTCAAAACATAATAATGAAAATATGAGAAGTTTAACATTTTGTATTGCTGATTGTCATTTGGTTTGACAGCTTTTCTCTTTTGGGTGTTAGTCTTGACCTTTTTTGTACTGGTAGCTCCAATGGAGGGTATGGTCTTCACAGGTTGACTATAATGTTTTTGAGTTGAAAGTGAGGCCTTGATTATGAAGCTTCTGGCTTGTGTAAATTCTATGATACAAAGAGCAATCCACCAAATAGATTTTGATTTATCCAGGCATTGATTGCCTGTTGACTTGATTCAGCAGTTCCTAAAAGAGTAGTTTGAGTTGCTTCTTTTTCCCTCGTCAAGCTCTCTTTGTTTCCGAAACCAACCATTTGTAATTCTCTTGTGCAGCGACATACCTATGGCGCAATTCATCATCAATTACAACAATACACTGCCCCCTTCACAGCAATTCATAATACATGTCTTGGATAGTACTCACCTGTTTGTGCAGCCCCATGCAGCTGAAATGATAAGAAGCGCCATTTCCGAATTTAGAGATCAGAATTCTTATGAGAAGCCTACTTGAATCCTTTTAGAGACCAAAATGGTCACATTGTATTTGTATCTTGGTTTTTTTGTGTCCATGTATCAAATCTCCCTTCCAGCTCTTTGTCAACTGTAGCTCTTATTTGAACACATTGAAGTGAGCCACAGAGCTTTTTGAAAAAAATTGGTTGACGTTCTAAACTGGTTGTGCAAGGATAATGGGTTCTTTTCCTTTGCTTGCTTGTGTGAATCTATTGAGATTGGATGATTTAATTCTAAACCACCAAATTAAGATTTTGTCTGCTACTTACTGTTGTGCTCCTTGATGACTCTGGTTATTATAATGGAAAATGCAATTTCTGTTTTATTTTTGATAGACATCAACTTGGGTTCGGGGGAAAAAAAAAAAACGAAGAAGAATAGAAGAAAAGATTCTAAAAAATATGTACTCATTTTCGCCAACCGCGGTGCTCGAACAGATGACCGAAACGTTAAAGGCCTTGAGCTCTGCCAACTGAGCTAGATATACCGTTATATTCTTATTTATAGAGTCCCACATCGGGCTAGTATAATTATAATTTACACCTTAAATATAGGAGTGCTATTGCTAATAGCATCAAGGCCTTTGGAATAAAACCCTACACTTATAATAACCAAAAGGAAATCTATTGGATTTAGATAGCTAAGTTGAGGACAATATCAGTGTTAGTGGTTGGGCTTATGCAAGATCTGGTACTAGCATTGCATAGTGCCGGTGGGGTAATCCTACGAGAATTCAGTACCAACATTCATTAGTATGAGTGGTGGCTCTATGCATTGGTTCAGTGTACCAACACGCATAAAATAGAGGCCCACTACTGATAGCACTGAGGCCTTTTGTCAAAAAATTATTCGCATTTCCGCATCTTTTCGTATTAAATTACATTTTTAATTTCTTTTTAAAATCTGGCAAAACAAAGAAAAAAGAAAGAGACAACCTCTACCCAGAAAAAAGAACAAGTGTTGCCGGCTCTAGCGGATCCCGCCTCAGTCTATTTCTTCTTCCTATATCCCAAGCTCCCAAGCTCCCAACTTCCCATCTCTGTTTGCGAAAATGGCAGTCTCTTTTCACCCGACCACTTCTACTCCAAGCTTTCAGCCCCAAGCTAGACTCGCTTCTCCTCTCAGGTTCTCTCCCACGTGGGTTTTGCTGTTTTTTACTCTCTTTTCTTCTTTAATTAATTTTTAAACTCAAGAAAACAAGATAAATGAATGTTTTTAATTGTAATCAGCAATTTGTATTCCACAGTTGTGCAGCAAAGCATTATTCAGGGTTAAAGCTTCAATCTTTAGGTACTCACTGCCTCTCTTGTTAGATAATTTTGGTCTTCTTTTCTGCGACGTGTCAATAATTGATTTGCTTTTCTTTTAACAAAACTAAGGAACTTTTGGAGCTAAAAACCCCAACTTGACGGTTGAGTTCTATGGCAAAGTTAATAAGAGCCTTCAATCCAGGTAACTAAATTATGGGCTTGTGTATACATTTCTTTAATCCTCCCGAATTTTGATGGTTTTGTGCCAAAAGTTAGCGTATATCCAATATATTGGTGGTGCCCACTTAAACTTTTTTAAGAGTATTAACAGGGTGTAATTATCCTAGTGCAGCTAAGGCAATCCTGCTTCATTAAACTTCATTATGGTGTTTGAATGAGTTTCTTGTGTACTGGTTTCCTAAAAATTTATCCGTTTGAATTTTGGGCTATGCGGCAACAATGAGATTGTTTATTTGTTTGTTGTATTATATAGGGGAGTTTTAACCATAACAAGACACTCAAAATCGTGAATCTTAGACTTGTTTCTTTGTTCCTGAATGAAGTATCGTTGTGGGATTGCAAAGATGTGGCTGATTATAGCCTATAATCACAAGATAAAAACTGAGGCTGGCTTGTTTCTGTTGTATGGTAAAAATTATAATTGTTTGTTCTATTCTTGACATGCCATCTAAGGTGTTACATTATGTATATCTTAGAATTATTTGAATAATAAGTGGTATATCCCTGATATTTGCTGTATGTTACTTACACCACACCACCACCCGACACACCCACCCAACCCCCCCCCCGCGGGCGCGCGCGCGCGGGGGTGCGGGGGGCCTTAGAGATGAGAAGTGCAAATTCATATTTTTAGGAGCATAACTTATCCTCATTACTAGGTTAGTGCCCACTCTGTTGTCAGGTTAAAATATATATTTACAAGTATCCTGAAGTCCCAGTGGATGGGGAAGCTAATGCTTGTGATTCGTTTTGATTACTGTTGCATTAGTTATTATTGTTCTCTAAGTCACTCTTTAGTTCTACCATTTTTCAGGAAAATAAATATGCTCAATTTGGTTTGATTCTTTTAAAATAAACAGAATAAGTTACAATTTTGCATGAAAACTTTTTTTTATATCCATGGATGATGCATCTCTATGTCTGAACTTTTTCAGGACACGTAACCAAAGACCATCACGAGCGCGAATTGGAATGATGCCTATAGGGACACCAAAGGTGCCCTATAGAACTCCTGGTGAGGGAACTTGGCAATGGGTTGATTTGTGGAATGCTCTAGTAAGTCATTACAGTTAATTTCATATGAATTGGACATGCAGTTTGTTGACATAGAAGGTTATAGGTACATGTTATAAAATTAGATACGATACACATCTAGGGATGTCCCTTTATTTTGTGTATTGGTAGCAAGGAGGCTTGCAGTCCACTCATGCGGATTATTTGAACCAATTTCCTTTTACATCTCTGTTGAAGCCTTTTTCTTTGTATTTTTTTTATCCAAATATTTCAAATGATCCTGTGCATTTAGTATTTGATTTCTATTTTCAATTCCAAATCTTCCCTAAACCTATCTTGGTAGCTAGATAAAAAAAAAAAATTTAAAAAGTAGATCAACTTGACATCTTAAGTCAACTTTTTTGAGTGGTTTCAACTTAATGGAGTTTTAGTGGAATCCCATTTTATTGTGTTTCTCTAAAAAATCTTCTGTTTTCTGGGAATGTAGTACCGAGAACGTGTTATCTTCATTGGGCAGAATATAGATGAAGAGTTTAGCAATCAGATTTTGGCAACAATGCTGTACCTTGACACTATTGATTCTTCCAAAAGGCTTTATATGTATATCAATGGTCCTGGTGGAGATGTGAGTATCAGATTTTCATGATGATTATACTTATTTCTTGATAATCTTTTTCCATGTTTCATATATCTGAAACTTGCACCATTTTGCAGCTTACTCCGAGCATGGCTATCTATGATACTATGCAGAGCTTAAAGAGTCCTGTTGGCACCCATTGTGTGGGCTATGCCTATAATTTAGCAGCCTTTCTTCTTGCAGCTGGAGAAAAGGTAATAGTACTGAATCCAAGTTGATAACATCCTTAATATTAATGCTCATCACGAAAGTGGTGAACTCAAGTTTTTTTTTTTTTTTTTTTGGCCTCAGAAGTGCAGAAGTTAATACAGCTAAATAGTGCTGTGATGATGTGGGGGAATCTAATTTTCTATAGAAAATGACTGATGATGGCCTTTCATGTCCATTTTGTTGCTATCCGAGCTCTTTTTTTCACACATGCTATTTTGCAACCCCTGTACCTTAATGATTTGATGCATTATCTTTATGTTCGATGTGACTTAAAAGGATTGTTGCTTTCATCTATTTCTAACTAAGATGGTTGAGCTCTGAAATTCCACCTTTTTAAAATTTCTGCTTTGCTTAGGGCAATCGATTTGCAATGCCACTATCAAGGATTGCGCTACAATCTCCTGCCGGGGCTGCTCGTGGTCAGGTATTACTGCTTCCTGTCATACCATCAAAAGCTGCGATATATACCTTTCATGTTTGTAGATTTTTGGTCCTTGTGGTGTTCACGAATCTTTACAAAATCTTGTGGCAGGCTGATGACATACAAAATGAAGCAAATGAACTTCTCAGAATCAAAGATTACCTTTATAACGAGTTGGCTAAGAACACTGGCCAGCCAGTTGAAAAGGTTAGCTAGTTTGACAAGTAAAACCTATAATCACTTTTGGGTTAGGTGGTTTTATGACCACATTAAGCGTTGTTACTTATCGATTTCAATAAGTGATGCACAAGCTTGATGAATTACCATTTACAAGATTAAGCATTATAAGTTATTGTTTCTTAGTCTGAAGTTGAATGATGACTAACTTTAGACATCACCTGAACAAAAGATGCCTGTGTTGATCTTGGATTCAATTTTGATATTCTGAACTGTTTATATGCAGATTAACAAAGACTTAGGTCGGATGAAGCGGTTTAATGCACAGGAGGCTCTCGAGTATGGGCTCATTGATCGTGTAGTTAGGCCACCTCGTATTAAGGCTGACGCACCTCCCAAGGATGCCGGAACAGGTCTTGGTTAGTGTAACTGTTGCTCGTCTGGCAAATTGGATGATGGTAGCTATGTAGTGTTCAAAATGTTTCTGAAGTTCATTTTTATGTTCATGTAGTATTCTACTTAACCATAATTGTTGCATAGAATTTTTGTCCCTTTGATCTTTCGAAGGAAGCAAAACACATGAAGTCTTTTGGAAATAACTATTTGCTAAAAAAGGTGTTATAATTTTTACTCACAGGTTTGTCCATTAAGGTTGCCTAGAGAAGAAAAATATATAGATTCATCTATTGTGTGGTCGAATTCTCTTTTTCCATTGACTATCTAATGAGGGGCAGTGAAAGCGGTATTATTTACAAAGATTCCCCAACAAAAAGGGGATTATAAGATGAATAGCAATATAGAAATCAGTTATGGTCTTGAAGATAATAAAGTCCTAAGAAAGGTACACATTATAGGGCAGAGAATGAAAGAGAGAGACAAAGGAAAAGAAAAGTAAGTTTGTATTATTTTCTTGAGTTTTGCTACATACAGAGGTTAAACTACAAATTTGATTATTTCATCTATCTTCTTGATAAATTTGAGGTTAATCTGTCTGCATCTGTAAGGCGTTGTAATACTTATTCACAAGTAGCTAAACTGCAAAGGATTGGAGATACTATCCCTTAACCTCTCCTCCTTCCATCCCTTGTTAACCTTATCAATGAAGTCTTCGATTCTTTTCTCCAAATTACTGTCCTGTTCATCCATGTCTCCCCAACCAATCTCGTCATCGCTACCATTGTCGTCATCATCTTCGTTGTAACCATCAGAATCAAAGCTATAATCTTCACTTTCGTCATCAACACGGTCACTGCCATTGTCATAACCATCCAGATTCAAGTATTTATCAC